TTCTTACTGCGTCTTTTGTCAATTTGTCAAGCATTCAGAAGAAAAGAAGTTCACACTTCAGTGTTTACATACCTCCACACTCCCCGGGCGCTGTCGAGGGGTTTACTCTCATCAGAAAGAGGACTAACAGAAAAAACACTGAGCTGGTCCAAACTGACATCGTGGCTTGGGCGGCTATGTAACTGAGACTAATTCGAGAGGTCGATCGATTCATATTTGTGTGCCCCTCCGGCTGATTCCTAAAAGATTAAACAAATCCTAATATTGACGGCAGACTAACGAGGCAGATCACAGATACCACGCTCAAAGAAGTAATCTGGATAGCCGTAAGGGCTGTAGCAGGCAGATGCAACCTGAGGTTCTGTGAAGGAAAGAACGTGGTATCTGAAAGCGTGTCTTCTCTCAACGTCTCTCTACATCAAACATTTTATAGAACTGAGAGTTGTGTTCTCTCAGCTTGTCGCTACATGGAATATTATATAGCACTTTCACTATCACTAACACCAGCTGTCTCCAAGTGGACAAATTAAAAAAAAAAATTCCCAAACGATTCACATTGTTGTCTTAATTATCTTGAATATTATTTTACTGACACTAATGTTTATTAATATATTGTATATATTTTATATACATTGGATTGTGGTAGATATTTGATAACAAAGCAGTCGTCTTATATAACAATAGCTGTCATTATGAAATAATTCCCACTGATATCACTAATTTTCTTGCAGCAAATGTGATAATGTTTTGTTGATATGTCTAGTTAGCCAAGGTATGAAAAACATTTTTAAAATGCTGCTAGATTATATCAAAACCTGTACGCATACATATTTTGGTCTTTCTGTTAAGCATGTCGTAAATGTACATTATAACTGTAAATGTGGCTGGTTGAGTGGTTAGAACTCTGGACTCTCTTTCGGTAGATACAGGTTTGAATGCTCCGTAGAGTAATGGATTTTTTCTGCAGAGGCAAAAATAACATGTTTTGTGATAAATCGCTTGGGCAATTACTGACCTATTGCAACGGCTGCTTCCATAGATGATGACATGCGATTCTAGTGTCGGACTGTTTGTGTAGGCATTCCGACGGCTGCCGTATGCATTTAGTGCATGTGTACACTATTAGATTTGCCGACACGGTAGTTTGTCAATTTATGTCATCTCTGGGCACCATACAAGATTTTGTTTGTACTCAGCAGGAGTATTGTCTTAGGTGTGTCTGGGTAAGTAAGTCTGTCAGCTGGCCTACCTAGCGAGCCATATAAAACCAATAGAGTAAATTAGGTCCCTGACACAATACTTTGGGGGAAAGGAAAGACGAGTAGTTACCCAAATGAAAGTGGGTGCCATCAGTAGTAAAAACTCGTCGCTGGCCGTTGCGAAGTAAGACGGAGCTAACATGGGCTTGTGCTGAATGTTGTAATGTGGAATCTTTACCAAGATGGTCATAGATTGACTGACTGACTTTCTACCCCACTAGGACATCACACAAGCGATAAACACCCGATGACACAAAGTGCCGCCATGTGGATGAGGATCCCCGTGGAGAGGTCCCACAAACCGCGTTCAGACGATTCGCCATATTTATGGCCTGCCTATATTGCGGCCCCTGGCAAAAGCCAGAGGGGGGCTTCAAATAACAAAAAATTACATCCTGAAAAGGACGTAGGGATATGGTACCATACTGATCATAGATTATAGATCAGTGCATCAAATACGAGATCATGGCAGGTCCTTGGACTCTATATCTTCTTTCTTTCTTCTTTTGTCAAAATCTGCTTGTGCCGCTAGGCGTCGCAGTCTATCAGATGATCGGCAACCGAACCAGGGCGCGCTCTGTCGCTTCATATGCCGTGATGTTATGAAGTCTCAAGTTGTCCGTGACTCCTTCAATCCATTTTCTTCTTGGTCTTCCCCTGCCTCTTGGTGTTTCGATTTTCATGTTGTATGCTCTTGATGCTGGCATCGTTGGTTCCATTCTCATTAGGTGACCAAACCATTTCATTCTTTGCTTCTCAATAAATTTAACGATGGGTATGGTTCCAATAGTTCTTGTAATCACATCGTTTCTCACTCGATCTCTTCTGGTTTTATTCGCAGCCATTCTCAAACATGGACTCTATATATGCGAGCTTAACACCTCATAGGGTCCATGTAACTTTTAACCATTATTCTAAGGAGCCACAGAATTCGCGTTTTACGACACGCTTGTTAAGAAGCTGTGAGTCCATTTTTTCCCGCCAGTGGGAAGAACATGCAAACAATAGAACTGAGCTTACCAAATAGGTTTATAAACAATAGAACCTGATCTGAGCTACGACTGCTCAGAGCACTAGCTATTAGTAAGTTTATACATGGCTGTAAAAAGTGGACCTTAACAGCAGAGCTTCAAAGGAGGATACAAGCTTTGAAATTGAGATCATTTAAAAAAAGTAAACAAAACTGTAGGCGTATTATATAGAGACTACATCACAAATGACGAGTTTCGTTGTGTAGTTAC